ATCCTCTCCTCTTCCCACCCAGCAACATGTCTCAGTGGGGCAACTTTTCTCGATTTCTGTCCAACTTTCAGTCGCCGCAGCAGCAGCAGCAGCCGCCGCCCCAGTCGCCCAACAGCGAACAGGAAGAGGACGGGAACCGAGCCGCCGTGCCCGTCTTCACCGAGCAGACCCTCCTCACGCTGAAGGCCTTTCTGGTGCGCCACGCCGAGGCGGACCTGGAGGCGGTCCGCCAGGCGAAGGCCGCCCACCGCTACCAGGAGCCCTTCGCCGCGCTGCCCGGCCTGAAGCTCTTCGCCCAGCCGCACTTTGCCCTCTTCCGCCCCCTCTTTCACGACTTTCTCCAGCTCCGCCTGTCGCTGGCGGCCTTTGAGGCGCAGCAGCGAACCATCGGTCGGGAGATGGGCGCCGTGGAACGGGCCCGACGCCGTCGCGAGGCGAAGCTGATGCGCATGATGACCGGGTAAGTGTCTTCTTTTAGGAGTTTTCATGTTTTGTTTACACTTTCAACTGCTCTATAGAAAACGCCGCCTCAAGCTGAAAGGTGCTCGTAGAGGCAGAGGGGGCGGTCGTAGTGGACGTGCTAGGGCTGGAACTTCACCTGCTCCCAATTCTTCGACCACTCCCACCACTTCACCAGCTCAAGCTCAAGGAGGCCCAGTCAGCCCGCAGCCATCACCATCACCCTCACCATCATCTGCTGCCTCGAAGAAGCCACTCAAACCGATCACCCTCACCGAGGCGCAGATGAGCAAGCTGGAGACCGATTTTGCGGTGCGCATCAACTCGCTCACCGCCCGCCTCAACGCCATCCCCGCCCGCCCTCAGGTGCCGGTGGGGCCGTACTTTGGCGGCGGCGGCCGCCAGCTGCCGCCCACCGCCCTCGGCGACGGCTTCTACAGCACCGAGGCGCCGCTCAGCGAGCTGCTGGTGAAGCTGCGCGCCTGGCTACTGAAGGAGTGCGCCCACCTCTCCGCCAAGGTGGGCCGCATCGTCGAGGAGGGCCGCAAGGGGCGGGCGGAGCGAGAGCAGCAGCGCCAGGGCCAGCAACAGCAGGCTAACTCTGCCTCGCTCTCCGCCACGCCCCAGACGCCGNAGGTGCCGGTGGGGCCGTACTTTGGCGGCGGCGGCCGCCAGCTGCCGCCCACCGCCCTCGGCGACGGCTTCTACAGCACCGAGGCGCCGCTCAGCGAGCTGCTGGTGAAGCTGCGCGCCTGGCTACTGAAGGAGTGCGCCCACCTCGCCGCCAAGGTGGGCCGCATCGTCGAGGAGGGCCGCAAGGGGCGGGCGGAGCGAGAGCAGCAGCGCCAGGGACAGGGCCAGCAACAGGCCAACTCTGCCTCGCTCTCCGCCACGCCCCAGACGCCCGGCTCCTCCTCGGGTGGACAGCGAAGCGCCATTGGCTCCGCCTCCACCTCCGCCAGTCCTCGCTAGGTCGCTTCTTGTTCTCAGATCTTCTAACAGTCGCAGGGTGAGACCATTTTTTACTAGTACTCAAAAGGAAGGTGTGTGTGTGTGTGTAAACGGTATGTTCATCTTTATCTTCTCCTGTTGCTGCTTCCTGCTTCTTCCTCATCCTTTTTCTTTTACTTCTGTGTTGCTAAGTGGTGGTGGTAGTGGTTAAAGAGGGCGTGCCGATTATAAAGACACACCACGCTGAAAAGAAGAAGAAGATACGCGGATTGTAAACGCTGAATAGCTGGTGGTGGTGTAAAGATATAACGAGGATTTAGAGAACTTCGAGCGCTTCAGGGGTGAGCGGGATCAGGTGGAGTGTTGGAGGAGAAGGAGGTGCTNCGCTTCTTGTTCTCAGATCTTCTAACAGTCGCAGGGTGAGACCATTTTTTTTACTAGTACTCAAAAGGAAGGTGTGTGTGTGTAAACGGTATGTTCATCTTTATCTTCTCCTGTTGCTGCTTCCTGCTTCTTCTTCCTCCTCCTTTTTCTTTTACNGTGCCGATTATAAAGACACACCACGCTGAAAAAAGAAGAAGATACGCGGATTGTAAACGCTGAATTGCAGTGGTGGTGGTGTAAAGCTATAACGAGGATTTAGAGAACTTCGAGCGCTTCAGGGGTGAGCGGGATCAGGTGGAGTGTTGGAGGAGAAGGAGGTGCTTCTTCGGTCTTCTTCTCAGCAGCACCTTCAGTGCCTTCAGCACCTTCAGCGCCTTCACCCGTTTCAGCAGCAGCAGCAGCTCCAGGGAAGGCGTTTCCCCTTGGAATGACGCCCAGCTGCTCGAGAAAGAGTCGCTGCATGTGGCCCTTGATGGCCTCGGCCAGCGCCGGATCGCGCTCCCGTGGTGCACCACCACTTCGCCCGTACTTGTCCTTGTTCTGCTGATGGTGGTGGCTGCTGCCGCCGCCGCTTCGGCGCCAGCTGCTGCTCGCCCAGTCGAAACGGTCGCCCTCGTTTTGTGATGACGGCGGCGGCGGCGGCCGGTCCCAGTCCCAGTCCTCCTCCAGTCGGTAGCGCTTCCGCTCGAAGAGGGCCTCAAAGAGGCGGCGCAGGTAGGCGTAGTCGGGCGCCTCGTCGAACTTCAGCTCGCGGACGTGGCGGAAGAAGTCGGCCATCAGGGGCAGGCCGCGGCACAGTTCCTCCACCGACATGGAGCTCTTCTTCTGCTGGATGCGCGTCCGTTTGTGGCGGCTGTTGGCGCCGGCCATGCTCTGCCAGGGCAGGTAGCCGTTGAAGAAGTAGAGAATGGAGTAGCCGAGGCTTTCAATGTCGTCCCGGCGGGTGGGCGCTGCAAGAGGAGGAGGAGGGGAGGAAATGTTTGTTTGGTTAGTATTTGGGAGTAGAAAAGTGTTCTTCAAAGATGAGATATATTACAGTAGCCGAGATGCGTGTTGATGCTGCTGTAGCGGTCGGTGCCGGCGTAGGAGCACCGCCGCAGCGGCACGTGCTGCCCCGTCTCCGGGTCGCGGTAGCGCTTCGCCAGGCCGAAGTCAATCAGGAAGATGACCTGCTTCTGCTCGCCCCGGCCCACCGCAAAGTTGCTCGGCTTGATGTCGCAGTGGACGAAGCCCTCGTCGTGGAGGGCTTCAACGCGAGAGATCTAGCAAGGAAAGAAGGGTAAGGAATGTGAAGAAAGAAGCTGTTTCGGCTTGTTTAGCAAACTAGCTAGCTTTTGTTTACCATTTGCATGGCCAGTTTGAGGATGGTGGACAGGGTGAACTTGCGATCCAAGTCCAGGTGCAGCTCCTCCAAGTTGCTGCCCAGCAGGTCGATGACCAGTACGTTGTAGTCGCATTCGCGGCCGAACCATCGCAGGCGCGGTATGCCCTCTGCCAATGGTAAAAGAACGTTTAGACATTTTAGAAACTGGAGCAAAAGTCTGGAGCGATCTCTCTCTCTCTCTCTCTTACCCTTGCCAGTCATTGCCTCGTAGCAGCGCGCCTCCAGGTCCAGGTGAAGGGAATGGCGGCCCTTCAGGTACTCCAGCTTGATGGCCACCTCTTCGCCTGTCGACAGATCAGTGCCTGAAAGAAGTGCCATCGAGGAGTTCATTTAGAAACACCATCAACAACTAAGCAAAAGAATGTCTGGCGTACCTCGATGAACGGCCCCGGTGGAGCCGTGGCCAATCCTCGACCCAATCCGGTACTGGTTGTTCACACGGACGTCCATGGATGTCTGGATGGATGGATGGTCGCATCCAAGCCTGGAGATGGGAAAGCCTGCTGCTCTTGACTCTGAAAAAAAGAAGATCACGGTTTAGAGTGACCTGAGATAAGACGACAAAACTCTGGTGGCTTACCAAGGACTTGAGAAGAGGTGATGGAGAAGACGGTGAAATGATAATCGAAGATTCTTCAGTGGTGGTGGTGGTGGTGATCACTAGTTTGGAAGTTTTAGATGCTGAACTCTTGAGACACTAAGACACACGGTTTTTTTGGGGAAGCGAATCTATCAACGTCAGCTTCAGCGTCAACGACGACGAGACGTCACACAAAAAAAACTGAGACAGCGCGCTCACGCGCAAACGTTCTAGAAGCGCGCCACGCTGCTCAGCTGTGTCAGGCTGAGCTGAGCTGCACAGGCTGATGAACAGCTGATAAAGGGCGAGACGACAAGTTGACGCTGAGTGGGGGAGATCTCATGGCAAGAAGATTCACACTGACTGACCTTTTTTTCGAGTACTTTTCTTCAACCACTTTTTCCCTCTTTTTTGGGCTTTTTCCATCCTGGCTCACCACAGCTGAAGCAGCAGCAGCAGCTGCTGCTGTTGGTTTATCAGCAGTTCGTTGTGCCACATCTTCTGACACGATGCTGCTTGGCTGCTGTTGTTTAGATGTTGTCGTCGTCGTCGTCGTTTTCACGCCCTCTCTCTTTTTCTCTCTCTCTCTCTCTCTCTCTCTGAAACAAAGTGAGTCCTTGCTTGGCCTTGGTGCGCAAAAGCATAAAAAGGTTTTAACAAGGTTTCAACAACTTGTGGAAGGTGTAAGGTGTGCAAGTTAGGGGCGAATGTAAAACAAGTCAAAGAGGAGATGAAATGAAATGAAATGAAATGGCTAACAGAGAGCATTCCCACCCTCTCTCTCACTTGAAGAGCATCTTCATGAGGAGGAGGTAGGTGAGGACGATGGAGAGGCAGTAGACGAAGCCGAGGCCGGCGGCGGCCGCCGAGGCCTGCACCCACAGGTGCAGAAAGTAGGGCAGGAGGGTGCCATCGAGCAGCACCTGCTGGAGGCTGTTCGGGTCGAGGGCGGCGACGTTGTCGGCGCTGAAGTAGGCGCCCAGCAGCAGCCAGGCGGCGGTCAGGCCGTAGAGGACCTTCATGTAGGCGCGCGGTTTGCCGGCCAGGCAGTGCTTCGCGGCGTCGTGCACCACCGAGGTGAAGCCGAAGAGGAGGAGGAAGTAGGTGAGGCCGAGGAAGACGGCGTGCTGCAGGCTGTGAGGATGGGATGAAAGAAAACAAGGTTAGAATGAGCAGTTTCGAAATGGCCTCCGTTCCTCTGTTTACCTCTCCCACTTGACGTAGGTCGGCTTCACCGACCAGTCGCCGTAGTAGGCGACCAGGTAGTCGGCCACCAGGTTGGTGACCACGCTCAGGTAGAGGTAGAGCGGGCCGATGAAGTCCAGCAGCGTCGTACCGACCTCCACGGTGAACTCGCCCTCCAGCGGCAGGGTGACCAGCTTGCTGGCGAAGGCCTGCCGCTTCACCGCCACCTCCAGGCTGACCGAGGCCACGGCGGCGCCCACCGGCGCCTGGTAGCCCTCCGACTTGGTCGTCTGCTGCACCTCCACCGAGACGAGGTTCTAAAGATGGGGTGGTGGTGAAATGGAGAAATGGAGGTTGGAAGTTAGAAAGAGGAGGTAAACAAAGAAAAGAGAGAGGTTCTGATGACGTAAACAAAAGCGGTAAGCTGCGTACCAGCTGAGCGCCCACGTGGTCGTGGGTGAAGGCGATCTTCTCCAGGTGGAGCAGCGGCCGCTCGCGAATCAGCAGAAACTTCACCGTCCCGCCCTCCTGGTCGAAGGTGCAGTGGACGTTGTGCGGACCTGCCGAGAGGAAGGCCCAGGGCAGGCGGAAGGCCGTCTGGCGGGTGTCGTCCACTCCGAGCAGCACCAGGCCCAGGTGGGTGCTGGCGAAGTCGATGGTGCTGCCGCGGTACTGGTACCACAGGCGGATCACGTAGATGAAGGTCTCCTTGGGGCCGGCGGCCTTGGCGCCCGCGGGCATGACGCCCACGCCCACGCCGCCCCCANGGCGGATCACGTAGATGAAGGTCTCCTTGGGGCCGGCGGCCTTGGCGCCCGCGGGCAGGACGCCCACGCCGCCCATGCTGCCGCCCCCGAAGCCTCCCGAGGAGGGCATGTCGTAGAGGACGTTCCAGGTGGCGTGCAGCATGCTCTCGGAGAAGGTGGCCGCGAAGAGGGCGGCCAGGGTGAAGGCCAGCGAGAGGATGGCGAGGAAGGAGGGCACCAGGTAGATTGACAGCTGCACCACGTCGCTCGAGTTGGTCATCTTGAAGTTATTTTTGGTTTTTGCTTTGTAAGATTTAGGTTTTGGGGTTTAGGTTTAGAGGCTTCGAAAGTGCTGACGCAAGTGCTGAAAAAAAGGCAGAAAAGTGGTGAGGTGACTGTGCAGGTTTTAATGACACGTAAGAAGTTTCGAACCTTTTTTTGGCGCCAGAGTTTGGCGCCAAAAGTTTTCTTTTTCGGTTTGCATAAACGTGAAACACAACATGCAAAGGACCGTCCATTAAGGACGTGATCTGACTTGTTTTTCAAGTGATAAAAGTGACACACAGTGCTCATTTGGACCTTTTTCAAGTGTTTGAGGAATTGCTTGTTTCTCTTGTTCTTTTGTTCTTCTTCAGTATTGACCACCGAAATACATCGTCGTTAGCCCAATCTTTAATGGGCCACTTTAAATGGTGCCGCATCACCACCAACACCACCACCACCACTACTACTACTACCAAAAACCGCTGAAATGGCAAAGAAACCAAACATTTTTCTGGTCAACGCGTACTCTCCACTGGAGAGTCTCCAGTAACTTCTTCTTCTTCTTCTTCTTCGTTGTTGCCCACCAGCAGTGCCATGTAAAATGGGTAGTTATGCATTGGCAACATGGGCCACTCCACCGAATGTAAGTGCTAATACTGGTAGCACCCTTTCCTCCCTCTCTCCTCAGGTCTGTTCTGTCCTCCTTATCAATTATTAATTTTTAATCGCATTTTAGTTTATTGCCATAAGTTTGCTGCTGCTATGCTGTGCTGCTCTATGTTTGTTATTTACCATTCAGGCCCATTCTTCTTCAGCTCTAATCACATTTCACTGCTCTGTTTCTTTTTCACTTTTATTATGTCTTTCTCTCTCTCCAAAAGTCATAACCGAACTGAGCAAGTCGTACTGCTAATTTATGCTCATTTTAAAGCACTTTCTTCTTCTTCTGTTATGTGTGCTGTGTTTGGCTAAATTGCAAGAGGTAATGCAATCAGATTGAAGTGTGT